ATATTTAGATTAATAATGCATTTATATACTTGCTTATAATAAAATAATTATTATACATTTATAAAATATAATATTATAAGCAGTTTTAATATATATAATTAATATTTATTTAATAATAAATAATTTAAATAAATTTGTTTTTGTGACTAAAACTCATACAAATTAGCTTTAAGATATTTTATTATACGTAAAAAGCTTATCTTATAAATTGTTAACAATATTAGAAAACAGGCTTTATTAAAAGTTTAAAGTATAAGTTATATGCAAAAAAAATTGTATTAATTAAGGTATGCACTATAACAAATATTAATTATATGAGTTACCAGATTCAAATATTTAGAAGTATAGTGTTCTTAACTGTGCTTCAAACAAATATACAATTTTTTTAAAATATATTATAAAAACAAATCTTTAAGTATAATTTTAATATTGCTACTATTTATTCTTAATAATAATTAGTAATAGACTATATGCAAAATTTAAATGAAATTTAATACAAATTTTTTGGTAAATATGCAAATTTTTTGAATTTTGTACAAGATATTTAATATAAAATTATTTGGCCTATATTAGTATATTATCTGGCCTGTATTAATATTAATAAATTAATTTCTAATTAGTAATTAATATATATAAAAATTAATGCACATATTAAATATTATAAAACTATTTACTTTAATTATAGTATTAAAAAATGTTGGGGTAGTAATCATTAAAATAGAATTTTTGTGTTTGGGAAATATAATTGTAGTAGTACAAAAATTTAAAAAAAACAAATAATGCACGTAATAAAATAACTTTCAAAAGATGCAATGTATGTAGTACTTGTTTCTATAATTATATCTTAATTTAAAATTAATAAGATTAGCAAAAATGCATGATAATTGTAATACAATATTACAAATTTTATAATTTTGTATACAGTATATATTTAGAATTGTATTACATATTTATTGTATATATATTACAGTTTAAATTAAAAAGTATAATTATATATATTACAAATATTTTAACAATTGCTAGTTTTATATATCTATATTATATTAACATTCTTTTAAATATTTTATATTACATTATGTTAAAATCTAACAAAAGAAAAAAAATAATTTTATCAATTGACCAAAAAAAAGAAATATGTTTAAAAAAACAATCAATTCCAATACCAACAAATAAAGATTTAGCTTATGAATATTCAGTTGGTAAATCTACAATATATGATATTCTTAAAAAAAAAGATAAATAGTTTTCAACTGAATTAATTACATCTAAAAGAAGTCCTAAATGACTATTATTAGAAAAAGCTTTGTGGCTTTGGATTCAAGGTGTTCTTGGAGCTGAAATGGATCTTAATGATAAAATCTTACAAAGAAAAGCTATACAATTTGCAGATACTTTTAATTATCAGGAATTTAAAGGTTCTAATGGTTGGGTAAATAAATTTAAAAAAAGACACAATTTATCTGAATATAGAAAAACAGATGAAGGTGCAAGTGTTCTTTTAGAAATTCTTCCTGAAGAAAGAAAAAAAATACAAGAAATTATAATTAATGGCAACTTTCAATTAGAAAATATTTTTAATGTAGATAAAACTGGATTATTTTGGAAATTAGAACCTAGCAAAACTTTAGCTACTCACGCTATTAAAGGTCATAAAAAATCAAAAGATAGAGTAACAATCTTATTAGGTGACAATGCAGCTGGAACTGAAAAAATTATTCCTATATTTATTGGTAAATCAAAAAATCCAAGATCTTTTAGAAGAGTTAGCAAAATTGATTTAGATAAAATTAATGTTCAATATGAACATAATAAAACTGCTTGGATGCAAATATCAATTTGGAATAATTAGTTATTAGATTTAAATCATAAAATGGCTAGTCAAAATCATAATATTATTCTATTTATTGATAATTGTTCTGTACATAAGCTTTATTCTGACACTATACTTACCAATATTTAAATTCACTTTTTATCACCTAATACTACATCACATCTTCAACCATGTGATGCTGGTATAATTCATAGTTTTAAAGCTCATTATCGCAAACTTTTTGTAGATAATAGAATTGAAGCCTATGATTCTCTTGGTAATTCAACAAATAAAATAAAAGAATTTACATTATTAGATGCTTTTAAACTTACTGAAAAAGCATGGGAAAATTTTACTGAAAAAACTATCAAAAATTGTTAGAAATTAACTGGAATATTGTCAAATTTTTTATCTAATAGAGCACCAACATCTTCAATTTTAACTACTATTATTAATACTAATATTAGTACTAATTCTGATACTATTAGTACTAATATTAGTACAAGAAAAAATGATTTTAATTATTATGAAACTCAACCAACTACAGTTTTTCATAATCATATTGTTACTAATAATGAAGAAACAACAACTCTTCAAACAAGCAGTATAACTAATATAGATAATCAAACTACTATAACTCAAAATAATACAATTACAATTAATCAACATGGCACTGTTACTTCTATTCAAGATAGTATTATTATGCAAAATTTTATGACTTTATATAACAATGAAATTCAATCTGCTAAACAAGAATTTTTAAATGAATACAAAAATGAATTAAATATGATACAAGTTTCTATTGATCAATTAAGCTTTACTAGTCTGATGTTAGCTCAAGGTTAGTAATTTTATAATTTATTATAATATTTAAGAAGTAAATCATGATTATCATACAAACTCTTATGATCATAGGTTTTTTTTCTTGTTATTTTTTGTATGTTATTATGTAAGCACAACAATTATAAATTAAAATTTAGCTAGTTAATAATAAGTATAAGATATTGGTCATGCAACGATTAATATCATGAAATTTGTTTTGTCGAAGCAAATGATTGGCTGACATGTGCCATGTAGTGGCACATTTTAGCCAATCATTTGCCCTAACAGAACAAATTTTATAATATTTATCATTGCATAATCCAATATCGATGTTATCATGCAATTATGATCATAATTTACGAGTTGTGGTTGGCTAACTGAGTTTTAATTTGGGATTGTTGTGCTTACATAATAACATACAAAAAATAACAAGAAGAAAAAAATCTATGATTATAAGAGTTTGCATGATAACTTATAAATTATAATCATAATTGTGTATAATATTAATTTTAATTATGCACTGAAAATATTATAAAATTCATTCTGTTAAGACAAACAATTGGCTGAAACATGCTGCTATATGGCACATGTTAGCCAATTATTTGCTCTAACAAATAAATTTTATAATATTAATCATTGCATAATCAATATCTTATATTTAAAGAGTATAAAAATAGTAAATCCAATAGTAAAACTTACTAGATATTAATATAATTTTTACTATAAAATTTATACTCTCAACAATGATTTATATATTACTTAATCATTATATTTTATCATAAATAAATATTACAGTATTTTTCTAATTTATTTTTTAAATATTGAATTAGCGAAAATATTAACTAAAGATCGTATTGTAATTTTTGCTAATTTGTTATTTAAATATA